AAGTGGGAAGTCAAAATGACTTAAGGATTTGGTCCACTACTGATGGGATGGAGGATTGCACTGAACGGAAAGAGATTGTTGTAGGAACAAAGAGTTTTGGGGGTGGGAGGGCAGGGAGGATGGGGAAGTGAGGAAGGATAACTGAGAGTTTGGTCTGGGGCCTGTTAGGTTTGAGATGTTTAGTACACATTTGTTCTGGTTTGTTATAAGCAACACCAAACTTAATGGCATAAAGCAACCATTGTATTATCCTCAGGGATTCCGTGGGTCAGGAATTTGGGCAGGGCACAGCTGGATGGCTTCTCTATTTCATTATGTTTTGGGCCTCAGCTGGGAAACTTCCTGGGGGCTGAAATCAGCTGATCTAGCACCTGAACTGAAAGATGAAGGCTGGGTTCAGTGGGGGACTGTAATGGAGCACCTACTCATGGCCTCCGTGTGGCTTAGGCTTGTCCAAACATGGTGCCTGGATCTCTAGTGGGAGCTCTTGGAGAATGAATTTACCAAAAGACTGGAAAATGCATGATTTTCTTTTTTTTCTTTGACCTGGCCTCTGAGTGCAGGGTCATTTCTGCCACATTCTAATGATTGCAAGTGAGTCACAGAGCCAGCTCTGATTCTCGGGAAGAGGAATTTAATGGGGAAGTGACAAACGCACATTGTCGAAGGTCATGTGGGATTCGGGAGATACTGCTGCAGCTACCTTTGGAAGATGCTGCCACAGGATCCAAAGATGCCAATTTAGCACTTGGCATACACATGACTTTGGAGGTTAGGGCTGAGATCTGGCCCATAAATGTAACTTACAAGCCATTGTCATGCAGGTGTCACATAAAGCCCTGAGGCTGGCTGAGATGATGGAGTTAGTGTAAACTGAGAAAAGTCCAAGGGCAGAGTGCTGGGGTAACTGGAACCATGTTCAAAGGTCAGAGAAAAGTAAACCAGTAAGAGGGACATCAATGGCCTGTGAGATAGGAAGAAATGTGTGATGTCCTGGATCACAGTTAAAAGGTATTTAGGTGTTTTTAGGAATAAAGGTGAAGTTGATGGTTCAAGAAAGATTGAAGCTGAAAATGGCCATTTGGTTTAACAATATGAAGTTCACGGATAACCTGGCCAAGGGCAGTCTCAGTGAGCGTGACAGTGAACCCTAGGCTTGAGGGAGCTTAGAGGGCCTGGAGGGGAGGAATCTGAAACAGCATAACCAGCTCTTGCAAGGAATATTGCTGTGAAGGAATGGGGTGGTAGCTGAAGGGGAAAGTCGGGATGTAACTTTTCATAAGAAGAGTTGATCCAGTGGAGGGGACGTGGATGGGGGTAAGGCAGTGGTGGATTGCTGGAGAGTGTCCTTGTGTAGGTGAGAGGAGGAGGCGACTGCCCAGCATGTGTTTTGATTTCATGAGGGAAGGCAGAGCATATGAGCACAGATGCTGGAAGAGGGTAGGTGTGATGGTGGGATTTTGAAGTTCTCTTTTGATTACTTACATTTTCCCATTGACATGAAGGGTTTACTAATAGTGCCTGTCACATTGGATGGCTTTGAAAATTAAATGTTTTTTTCCTCCAAAGTACTTACAGTAGTTGCTGGCACGTAACGTTGATAGTTTTTAGTCTGAAAGTAAGCCCCTACTCCTTTTAAAATGGTATTTTTAAGATAATTGTTTTTGAATTGCACACAAACCTGCAAATAAGCATATAGCTCAGCAATGATCACAAAGTGAACACACCTATGTATCCAGCTCAAGAAATAGAACATTAATAGCATCTGGTTGGTTTTTGGTTTGTTTTGCTTTTTTTGCCCTTAAATGTCTTTAGTTCAAAAAGTAGAAAGCTAGTCATCCTTGTGTTGGGATCCAGGATATTTTTGAAAAATGTCCTTGCCTGTGAAATCCCAAAGTCTGGTAATATGTTTAACACCAAGGACTCTAATAAACCTTACTTGGCTATTCTGCTGGAGGAAAGAAAAAAATCTATTCCCTAATGAACTGTAAGTTTCCAGAGTCATGAGAAAATTTCTAAATTATGACGTGACACCAATTCCTCAAGCATTCTTCAAATCATTTGCCTAAATGAGTGTAATATGAAAACCAATAATATTTTTAAAGAATTTAAAAATTTTGAAGATAAAATGCCTCTTGTCCTCTTTAGTTAACCATACATTTACTGAGATTAGTCATTTAGCCTTTTATTTTTCTTGCCTTTTTTCCAAAGAAAGCAGTTCTTTTCCCTCCAATCTAATTCCTTATAATGTTATTAGGAAGGTGATGGTATGACCACTTCCTAAGACAATGTGTTATTGATCACTTATTCTGTGTTGATAGTGATTGTCTGAATTGTTTATTTCTCTTTCTAGGATTTAAACCACAAAACAAAATTAAAGAATATTTAGGTAGTGTACTTTTCTTAGGGAAGTTCTTACCTTAGGCTTTTGCCTAATTATTTTGTACTAGAGGCCCGGTGCATGAATTTATGCATGGGTGGGGTCCCTTGGCCAGGGCTGGCGATTGGGGCCAATGAGGCTGATGGAGCCAATCAGGGCCAGCCGGCCTTGGGGGAGGTTAGAGGGGGGAGAGACTGTGGGAGGTTGGCCGGCAATCCGTGCTGGGCCGGCTGGGGGGAGGGACCGAGGGAAGTTGGCCGGTCACAGGAGGTTGGCTGTGGGAGTGCACTGACCACCAGGGGGCAGCTCCTGTGTTGTCTGCCCCCTGGTGTCCAGTGCATCGTCATAGCGACCAGTCGTCCGGTCATCACAGTCACTTAGGCTTTTATATATATAGATGGTTTCTTGCACACAACCTCTAATACAAACACACACAGGTGCAGGCACACACACTCCCCTCTATAGTTATGGTAATTGTTTATTAGCTGAAAATTAGTGTTTGGAAAAGACTAATTTTAAACTCTTTTTAAACTGAGGGCACTTTTGTCTGCAGGCAGCACTCTGTACGTTTTACTTGTGATCTCCCTCATTTTAGTATTTAGTTTTCTGGGCAGTCTGCCTAGTTGGATTTTATTTTATTTACTGTTTGCAGTGTCCTGATTGTTAAGAGTAGCCATTTCATGGTGTTGAGAGAAAGTTCTTTACCTCTAGCAGTGCTTGCTTTTGTGCTGCTTAATGATTGGTTTAATGAGATCTCCCAGAACAGCAGTTCCCCACCCCTGGGGGAACCTATGACTCCTGTTCTCATTTATAAGCAAATTAGGAAGAAAATACATAGATGTTTTTAGAAGTTAACTTTATTAAATGAAGATAGTATATAAAATACATTCATAGTGACTAGATATAAAGGACCAAATTATGTCTTATATCTGCAGCATACATTCTTGGTTTGTATAAAAGTAACTTTAAAATTCCAGTTTCCTTAAATAGTTCTGCACAAAACACATACACACGCATATATATATACACATATAGTTACTACCACTGTCAGTCAAAGACGCGCTCCTCCTTTAATCAGCTCAAAGGAGCTGGCAGATATGTTTCTTGTTTGACATTCTTCCAGGCTGGGAAGTAAGGCACAGCTAAAAGGCCTCAGTAACAGTTTCCAGGATTAGGACAGATATATTGCGTGGGCTCAAATAAGGTGTGGGCATCATGTCTTAAACGAGACCTACACTTGCATATGGTTTGTCCCCTCCCGCCTGTGCAGTTCCACATACGTGATCTCACAAATCCTAAAAGAGGTGCTGGTTCTTTCCTTGCCACTGCCAACCATTTTTGCCATAAGTGACAAATGATTTAATACCAGCATCAGTTAATTAGTGTTTCAGTTTTCAGTGCTGTTTTAATGAACTCGCCTGTGGCAAGCACCATGCAACTACCCCACGACACGTTGCTACAAGCTGCTGTTTTCCTGTCTGTGTCGGGACGCCAGATGGGAACCTTTTTGGATGGACTCACATAGGCTACAAACCTGAGTCTTTCAAAAAACGGAACTGACACCAATAATAGATTGTTCCTTTTGGTGAGGTGGTATTACTAAGGTCTCAATGATTAAGAATGAGATCATTAAAATCAGCACATAATACATATAGCTAAGGTTTTCCGTGATCTTCACTATTTGCTGGGTCCTTATCTAATTTGAGAAAACTAGAGAATGGATTGAGGTCTTCTTTTACCTTCCCTGTGTTTACCTTCCTCTTGGTTACCTGGTTTACACCATTGCCAGTTGTCCCTGGTGATTTTGTTCCGGTGAAGAAGAGGAAGAACAAAGCTTTCCCCCTCCCGGCTGATTTTGTTGGGCCTTGGCTTGGTGGAGAGGCCGGACTCCCTGCTCTGCTGGCCGGAGGCCCCTCCTGCAGAGCCGCGTGGGCGCTCCCACTGGCTCACTGGGGATGTGCCCAGTCCCCATCTCTCCATACAAAGAACCTTGAAACAAGACTGTGACACAGGAAGGATGCTGCTATTACTTGTGTTCCGGCTTCTACAGTTCAGTTGCATGCATCAAGGGAACCGCATCTTCTCTGCTGTCTGCCCAGCTCTGACAGGTTCCAAACATTCTAAATACAGAGCATCAGGCGGAGCCCGCCGCAGACCCGGCCCTCCACCCTGGGGAGTGGGCACCCTGCGCACCTGTTCCTTTTCCATCATCCTCAGGCCAAGGCAAGGCGAAAGCAGATGAAAGAGGCTTTTCTCCTGTGGATGGCGGATTAATGTCCTGAGTCCCAATTCCAGAAATACTTTACTATCACCTTTTTCTCAAGGAGCATAAAGTGCTTAATAAACCTTGGTTAATGCTCTAACCCGCCTTCCCAGGAGACAGACTGGGAAGTGGGGTCCCCATCACACAGCCTCCGGGCCGCCTGTTGCAGTGAGGTGGTTTGGTTGGCACAGAGAGGGCTTTCACTCTGCCTCATCTTCCTTATTCCTTCTGCCCTCGTTTTGGGGCATTTTCATTCTCCTCAGCTTCCTTTTATAACTAACTGTACAAAATAGGCAAATGCAAAACATTGAGTTAAGTGTCTTGACTATACATTAACACTCCTCAAAATAGAATCTGATTTTTTTAAATGGGACTTTAAGCCCAACAGGTAACCCTCACAGACCAGCCGTTCCAGTTAGCTTACTACGAACAATATGCTACATGCCCTGAACTAATATTCCAGCTTAGCTCAGGTAAGTGTTCAGTGTACTTGCTAGAGGGGCCGGCAGTGTGGGCTCAGATGAGCAACAGCCTCAGTGACAGAAATAAAAAATGTGTCATATATGGGAATGGACAGAGAACCAGTCCTGTAGCTAATGTTTTAAAATATGCTTTGTTGTTCCAAAAAATGTTTGTCCTTTTCTTGCCTCCCAGAGTCCAGAAAAAGTCCCCTCATCCCTCTATTCTCTTGGCTCCCTGGCGGGGTTCTCAAATGGAGTGGGTTAGGTAGGGTTTCGGAACCTCTTCAGTGTCCTTGTTGGTAGCCCTCTTCCACTCCTTCCATGTGGCCCAGCTCAAATTCTCCCTTCTTGTGCTCTGTCCTGTTTTCTCTTTTCTTCTTTTCTCCCTTTTTCCTTTTCCTCCTCACAGCCATGTCTGCTGGAGGCCCCGGGCTTGCGTAGGCCAGCTCGGGCTGCCGTCCCTGCTCGGGCTGCCGTCCCTGGGTGCATGCTGCGTCTCCTGAATTGTCCAGGCCCGAGGCCTGGGGGCAAGGAGCAGGAAGTCTTTGGACCTGAAAGAATTTCTCTAACACACTGAATGAGGGTTTGGCCTTCACTTGTCACTCTTACTCTATTTATCTGGGGGTTACATTCTGGTTAGTCAAAAGAAAAAAGCACTGTTAAAAACCACAGGAGCATCTAGCCCCTGCGGAGGGGCAGAGGTGTACACTTCTATGTGCATAATACTGGCAGAAGCTCGTTTTCTGGGGTATACATCTGCATGTGGTTCTAGAAATCAGGCCGTCACGCTTAGACAGGTGGGGTGGAATACAAGACCACGGAGTTGTAGTCTGGGGGAGGAGAGCAGCACGAGACCTTCCTTTCCAGCTCGGAGTTGTCGTAGGTGAACCTGCGCTGGCCTCTGTTGACGTGCCCACAGTCAGGATGGCAGAACTGAGGCCTGGTCAGGTCAGAAAGCCCCGACTCCTTACTCTTACTGGTTACTCTCAAGCTAAAGAAAAAAGAAAAACATCAAATATACAAATTTAGTTTCTTGAAATCACGCTACTCTAAAAACTCTTTATTGTTTCAGGTATTTACAGATTGACCCCTTCTAGCCCGCACCTGCCCCACCCTAAACTATATTTTTATTGATTTCAGAGAGGAAGGAAGAGGCAGAGAGAGAAAGAGAAACATTAATGATGAGAGAGAATCATTGATCGGGTGCCTCCTGCACGTCCCCCACTGGGGATCGGGCCCCCAACCTGGGCATGTGCCCTGACCGGGAATCCAACCGTGACCTCCTGGTTCATAGGTCGATGCTCAACCACTGAGCCACATCATCTGGGCCACTCTTTCTTTTTATTTAAAGAGTTTTTAAAAATTGTTTTTAAATTGATTATTGAGAGAGAGAGAGATAGAAGGGGGGAGGGAGGGAGAGAAAGGGAAAGAGGAGGAGGTATCGATTTGTTGTTCCACTTATTTATGCATTTACTGGTTGCTTCTTATATGTGCCCTGACTGGGGATCAAACGCACAACTTTGGCATACTGGGAGGACACTCTAACCAACTGAGTTACCCTGCCAAGGCTAAGTCCACTCTTTTCTTTTTTTAAAAAAATATGTTTTTATTTTATTTTTTAAATGTATTTTTATTGATTTCAGAGAGGAAGGGAGAGGGAGAGAGAGACAGAAACATCAATGAGTGAGAAACATCAATTGGCTGCCTCCTGCATGCCCCCTTCTGGGGATCGTGCCTGAAACCCGGGCATGTGCCCTGACTGGGAATTGAACCATGACCTCCTGGTTCATAGGTCAATGCTCAACCACTGAGCCAAAATGTGTGGGCCCACTCTTTCATAACTGTCCTAGCATTGATGGCTGTTGACTCCCACCTCATTCTCTGGTCAGACTCTGTTATGGAGCTCACACTGCCTCACTACTACCAGCTTCTTGTCTCTGGGCAGAAGGATGTGTTCCACTGACCGGGGGCTGGACTATGTGATGAGGTCATGTAATTCCATAATTCAAGGAGGAAAGTAACTCCCAAGACTTGGGGATAGCTCTTCTACACTTGAATCCGTTAGCTACCATGGTAGGCTGAAAAATGCTCCCCAAAATATTGATGCCAAATCCTTGGGATCTGTGAATAGCACCTTATATGGCAAAAGATGTGATTAAGCTGAAGCTCTTCAGAGGATGAGCTTATCCTGAATTATATACACACTCCCCTCTCTCCATTCCTCTTTCTCTCAAATCAATCAAAAACATTTTTTATAAAAACCTCTTTAAATAAAAAGAGAGAGTGGCCCAGCTGATGTGACTCAGGGGTTGAGTGTTGACCTGTGAACCAGGAGGTCACGGTTCGATTCCCAGTCAGGGCACATGCCTGGGTTGCTGGCTCAATCCCCAGTGTGGGGCATGCAGGAGGCAGCCGATCAATGATTCTCTCTCCTCCTTATACAAGAGGCAGAGGGAGATTTACAACCAGAGACAGGAGGAGGTGATGTGAAGACAGAGCAGAGAATCGTGGCCACAAGCCAAGGAGTGCCTGGGACCACCTGAAGCTGGAAGAAGCAAAGAAAGAGTTCTCTCCCAGAGCCTGCAACACCTTGATTTTGGGCTTCTGGCCTCCAGAACTGCAAGAGAATACATTTCTCATTTTAAGCCACCAAGTTTGTGATAATTGTTACGATGGCCTCAAGAAACTAGAGCTTCATAAAAAAAGGTCAATACAGCTGTCTCCTGATGTTTACATTCTAGAAGAGAAAACCAAGTTATGAGACTGAACATCACTGACAAGGCTCAAAGGTGAAGAAACTTGCTTCTGGGTCCTGCATGCTATGTCCAGCCTAAGACAGACACAGGAAGAAAAGCTTCGCTTGTCATTCATATTTGTTTGTTTTCTTCAATGGCTGAGGCGAGGATAAAAGGACCATGTGCACCACCACATTAGTTGGGTTGGTTTTGGACTTGCACATCAAGCGTTTGCTCTGTGTTCCATATTTTTTTTAAATCCTCACCTGAGGATATGTTAATCAATTTAAGAGAGAGAGTAAGGGAGAGAGAAACATTGCTCAGTTGCCTCCCGCATGTGCCCTGACCAGTGTTTGAACCCGAAACTAAGGTATGTGCCCCGATCAGAAATTGAACCCGTAACGGTTTTGGTGTACGGGATGACAGCTCCAACCAATTAAGCCACCTGGCCAGGGCCCATGTTCTGTATTTTTAGTCTCAGAGTAGAGGATGCAATTAATGGTGTTCCTTTCTTTACAAAGATCTAGATCAGTGGTTCTCAACCTTCCTAATGCCGCGACCCTTTAAAACAGTTCCTCATGTTGTGGTGACCCCCAACCATAAAATTATTTTCGTTGCTACTTCATAACTGTAATTTTGCTACTGTTATGAATCGTAATGTAAATATCTGATATGCAGGATGTATTTTCATTGTTACAAATTGAACATAATTAAAGCATAGTGATTAATCACAAAAACAATATGTAATTATATATGTGTTTTCTGATGGTCTTAGGCGACCCCTGTGAAAGGGTCATTCGACCTCCAAAGGGGTTGAGACCCACAGGTTGAGAACCGCTGATCTAGATTAACATGGTCACCAATTTTCTGAAGTGTTCCAAAAAAGGAAACAACAGACCATAGTATCCCACATTTCCCCACCCACACCTCAGCGGGGTCCTCCAATTTGTTGTACTCTGAGTACACTGAAGGTGCTCGACTCTGTTACCATTATTGTGCTCGTGGTACAAGCAAACAGATATGCAGGTGTTTGCCTGGAAATGTTCTTATCCAATGACTTTATTGTGGTTGATGAACTGTGTTAACTATGTCACTTGGAGGTCTCTGTTGCCCTCCTTTGATTTAGATCAAGGTCAGCAAATATAGCCTATGGGCTGGCCATCTGTTTTGTTTTTATTTTTTTAAACTTACACATCTTTATTTTATTTTATGTATTTTATTTTTAAATATGGAACGCTTCATGAATTTGCATGTCATCCTTGCGCAGGGGCCATGCTAATCTTCTCTATATTGTTCCAATTTTAGTATATGTGCTGCTGAAGTGAGCACACATCATGCTTTTTAAAAAAATATGTTTTTCTTGATTTTATTTTATCTTTTAAAAATATCTTTTTAAATTAATTTCAGAGAGGAAAGGAGAGGGAGAAGATAAAAGATCAATAATGAGAGAGAATCAATTGGCTGCCTCCTGCACACCCGCTACTGGGGATCAGGCCTGCAACCTGGGCATGTGCCTGGACTGGGAATCAAACTGGTGACCTCTTGGTTTGTGGGTTGACACTCAACCACTAAGCCACCCTGGCTGGGCTGTTTTGTCTTGTTTTTATTATTATTTATTAATTTATTTTTATTTTATTATTTTTTAATCTTTACTTGAGGATATTTTCCCATTGATGTTTAGGGAGAGTGAAAGGGAGGGAGGAGGGAGGGAGGCAGGGAGAGAGGAGAGAAAGAGAGAGAGAGAGAGAGGGAGAAAGAAACATTAATGTGAGAGAGACACATTGATTGTCTCCTGCACGTGCCCCGACCAGGACCAGGCATAGAGCCTGCAACCGAGCTAAGTGCCCTTGACTGGGATTCGGACCCAGGACCCTTTGGTCCTAGGTCCGATGCTCTAACCACTGAACAACCGGCCAGGGCTATTTTGTTTTTAAATGACAGCTTTGTTGAGATGTGATTGACATGCTATACAATTCATCTCTGTAAAGTGTATACGTCCGTTCATAGTTGGCACAATCATAACCACACTCAGTTTTCATCACCCCCCCGCAAACCCATACATACCCATTAGTATACCCAGCTGCTCCACTTCCCTGCACCTCCTACCCCCAGCCTAAACAACCACTAATCTCCTTTCTGTTTCTATAGACTTGCCTATTCTAGGCATTTCACACCAATGGAATCATACAATATGTGGTATTCTATGCCTGGCTTCTTTTACTTAATGTTTTCCAGGTTCATCCATAGTGTAGCATGTATCAGTGTTTTATGCTTTTTATTTTCAATTACTATTCTATTTAATGATATGCAGCATTTTATTTATCCATTCATTAACTGGTGGACATTTGGGTTGTTACTACTTTTGGTGATTATGAATAATACTGCTGGGAACATTGGTGTACAAGTTTTTGTGTGGACATAGTTTTCACTTCTGTTGGGTGTATACTAAGGAATGGAATGGCTGGGTTATAGAGTAACTCACTTAATATTTTAAGGAACCGCTAGACTATTTTCCAAAGGGGCTGCACTATTTTACATTCCCACCAGCAGTACACAGGGCTCTAATTTCTCCACATCTTCACTAACAGTGACTTTCTGATTCCAACCATCCAGGGGGTATGAAGCGGTATCTCACGGTGGTTTTGGTGTGTATGTCCCTGATGACTAATGGTGCTAAGCATCTTTTCATGTCTTCATTGGCAGGGCCACCTGTGCTTTAAAGTTTGTTGGAATTCAGCCACGCCTCCTTGCTTATCTTCTGTCGAGGGCTGCTTTCATACTACAGCGGCAGGACTGAGTAGTCGTTTACTCTCTGGCCCCTTGAGGAAAAATCTGACCCCTGACTTAGATGAAAGGAGCAGGCTCTGCCTGTGGGTGAGATGGGCAGGCACTGGGACCAGGGAAGGAAGGGATGCCTGATAGGCCCAGCCTGCCCTGCCCAGCACTGTTCCTAGGTAGACACTAGCATAGAGAAGCAGAAGTGATGTGCGGGCCAGTGGAGTATAAGCAGGCTGAAGTAATTCTGACAGAAGTTGTCGCTGGCCACTGTATGGAAGGAGTGCTAGGACCAAACAGGAAGCAAGCCCTCATCTGAAGGCTGGGTTCTCAGGAAGGCATGTCTCAGGACTGGAAAACAGCACCGTGACCCTTCTGCTACGAAGGCCGTGCCCAGTGTAACAATGGGCGCGGCTTCCCTCCCTGTCCCACCAGGGATCTGAAGTTTGTTCTGTGCACAGTCGGCTTCAGGCTCCTTTCACCTGAGCCACTGCTTCCTGTGTTTGGACTGCATGCTTTTGCTGCAATTTTCTGCATATTTTCTCTTCGCAAATCCCATCTTCCTTCCCAGAGCTTGGTGCTCATATGTCTGATTTTATCTCCTCCTCCCTGCCTTCTAGGGAGAAAAATGTGTTTTTTCTATAATGCCTGAACACAATAGTTCAGGAGGGCAACTAGCTCTCCAATATCCCCATTAAACCACCTTCCCATCGTCTTCCTTCATCTCCTCCCACCCCCAACAATTGCTCATGGAAAAGACACCCAGCTTCCTTACTCAATCTTTAGAGAGGCCTTGGGTTTGCTCTCAGTCCAGGTGAAGCGCTTCAGCAAAGGGGTGGCCCGCAGAGCGCTACTGTCCACCTGGTAATCCTGGCGGGGAAGAAGAAAAAAGGTTACACTTCTTGTTTGACCCACAGGGGTCCACACCAAGTCTGGGGGAGGGTATGGGAGAGGTACAGCTAAAGTCACTCCAGGCTCTGTCCTCACCTTTCACAGTCCCTGCCCATTAAGACAAAGCATTTCTTCATATGGAAAGTCTAAACTTTAGTTGTAAGAAATGCCTATTCCCAGTGACTTGAAGCCCTTCTTCCTGAAGGTGGAGAAATTAAAACAAAAGGGGAACCTGCAGGTAACAGATGAGCATTTTTCATAGTAAACTTCTATGGAAATTATTGTATAAATACATTAAAACTAATTCTGACAGATGACTATTTGCTATGAGAGTGCTGTTATTTGGTGGCTAAGATATACAAAAATTCTGAGAAATTATAAATACACTAGTGGCCCGGTGCACGAAATTCATGCACATTAAAAGGGGATTAATTAGAGGAAATATTTTAATATTGGCTGGCTCCTAATCGCTTGCCTGTCTGCCAGCCTGATCACCTGCTAACCGCTCCCCTGCTGGCCTGATTGCCCCCAACTGCCCTCCCCTGCGGTGACCCACCCCTTACTGCACGGAGCCGCGGGACGTGGAGCGGCCACCGGGCCCTGCCTCCGCTGTGCACGTGGCCATCTTTGTGGCGGCCATCTTGTAAGGCCACCTAGGCTTTTATTAGTATAGATTAGTGGTTCTCAACCTTCCTAATGCTGTGACCCTTTAATACAGTTCCTCATATTGTGGTGACCCCCAACCATAAAATTATTTTTGTTGCTACTTCATAACTGTAATTTTGCTACTGTTATGAATTGTAATGTAAATATCTGATATGCAGGATGTATTTAGGTGACCCCTGTGAAAGGGTCATTTGACCCCCAAAGGGGTCGCGACCCACAGGTTGAGAACCGCTGGTATAGATGGTTTAATTTTTTTCTTGAAGATTCTGTGGAATTTTCGGGACCCCTTGGTCATGGTTTCCAGCAATTCTATTTTCTTGTTGGTTCATCTTTAGCATTGAGTTTATGCAGATTCCTCATTACTCTGTTAATAGGCCATTTCCAGTAAGTTGTTGCCATGCTTTGTTCCTGTCACCCCGTGAATCTGTTACTGGCTGTGTTCATGTCCTCGATTATCAGTAAACAGGCCTGGGCCAGCCAAGAAGCTGCTGTCATTCCCACTGTATCGGGGCAGGGAGGGAGGGGGGAGGGGAGATATCTTCCATGTTTGCTGAGTATCATTTCCTTGGACCTAAAACCTAAGTACTAAACAGCAAAACAAAATTTCCAGCTACTTTACCTTTACATTCTTGGCTTGTTTGTAATGCTTTTAAATGTTTAAATTACCTTTTCCTCTTGATCTGGTGTGTTTGAAGAGGTTTTAGTGTATTTACGGTGACTGTGCTACATGTCACGGCCACACTGTTTGTGGTCACTCCCTTCGCACTGTAGTTGGTTTCCAGGCTTCTGTGGGACATGGTCATCACCAGCACGTCTCACACTCTAGTGTGCACGTGAGTCCCGAGACCGTGCAGAGTCTGACTCAGTGAGTGTGGGCGGGTCCGAAGAGCCAGCATTTCTACCCGCTCAGTGGCGGCCGTGCGTCTGTGGCGATCACTCTGTGAGTGTGAGGGTCTGTGAGGCCACAGGCGCCCCTGCCCAGCGCCCCCTTTCCTCCCTGATTTTCTCACCCCCAGGTCCCAGAGCTTTCAATAGACAATGAGCCCTCGTGTGTGCCAGGCTGCACAGATTGCTCCTCCCAGTGCAGCAGGGTAGGAACATGGCTGTTCAGTCTCCATGACCTTCGTGGAAGGAGCATAGGCCCGGCCCAGACAGACTTCTTCCAGGATCTCGGGCTGCTCTTAGAGAGCGTTCTGTTACATCACAAAGGCCCAGCCACTCATAGTTTTGAGTTCCTCTATCCTCTGAAAGTAGGGCTCCGTCACTGGTAGCCAAGAAGCTTACAAGCACACAACGAAGTTTCCTAAGGGACTAAATTATGACCAGTAAGGACTTGGACCCTGGAATGAATTCGGGTAATCTTTAAACTATGGGTTTACCTGCTTTCCAATGAGCTCTGTATAACTGTGTTATTTTCAATCCCCCTGAAATTGCCATTTCAGCCACCACTCATTATTGCCCCGCACTGACTGAGAGCCACCAGACTGCTGGAGTGTGGGTTTGGGTGGAGTCTGGCAAAGGGTCTTGCCAGGGTGCATTGAGTAGGTTCATTCCATTACTTACATCAAGCATAGCGGTGACATTTGGTGAAAGTTCTTCAAAGGTTTTGATTCTCTCCAGGCTCATGAAATTGAAAGCATTTACATATCTAATGAAGAAGCAGAAAGAATAATCAAGACAGGAAAATGCATCCAGCTTTGATTAGCCAGGAGACCATGGGCAGCGTATCTCAGCAATGATGAACCAAATACCAGAAGGAATCATCTTACTCCTGAGACTGAAGTTCCCCCAGGTTGTTAATTAACTTCCTCCTGTGGTTGTTAATCCACATTTCATAGTTTTGAGCAAAACCCCAGAGGGATTTGAGAGACTCAGTAGTGGTTAGACCTCTGGCCCCTTGTGGAATCAGAAAATGTCAGGCCTAGAAGAGACCTGAGCCATCATCTAGTCTAAACACCCCACATTACAAAGAAGAGGAAGTAATGCCCAGAGATGTGACATGACTTTATCATGTGGCTGCCTACTTCTAAAAGGATGTGAGGGAACAAATGCAATGACCTGGTAGGGTCACACAACTGATTTAATGGCATAATTGAGTACTAGAGCTGGTCTTGTATATTCTGTTCTGTGATTACAGATTGGGAGAAATGGGTAATATTTGTGTGATTTCCCCATAACTACCTCCAGACCTTTTGTTGGAGATCCTTTAGGAAAGACTCTCAGAGATATCCACCATATGGTTACTCATAAGACAAGTTCATCTACTGATTGAGTTTCTCAGTCTGATACCCTGTCACTGCCTGCAAGGCCTAGTTTCTTAGGCAAGCTCTCTATTGGGCCTAAGGCTAAGCAACGTACTGGAAGGGCCCAAATATCTTTGACACTCCCCTCCCTGATCTCTGACCCAATCAGACCCCGCCAATTTATTTAATCCAAGCTAGTTTTCTCATCTTTAAAAAATGGATGGCTCCTCTGTTTCAGCTTCTTGGGCTGGTTGTGAAATATGAGCAGTGCCACTGACCTGCCACCCATTACCACAAATCTGGGCTGGCCACTGGGCTTCTAGGCTATCAATCTTTTCAGACTGTGCAGCTTTTCCCAGTGCCTTCCCTGGTCACCTGCCAAGTTTGGCTGAACTGAGGTCAGAGTCCTAGGGTTGTGTCCACTGCAGATAAAGATGCTGGAAGGTCCACAGGATAGTCAGTCCCAAAAGGAGTCCTGACTGCATGGAACAGGGAGGGAGTGGCAGAACACCTGGGCTAGAAACTCTCTTCTGACACAGTTTTGGCAAGCTATTCCTCATGGAACCTTAATGTCCTCAACTGTATAGCATGAATAATAATATCTCCTTCACAGGATTGTTTTGAACCTCAAAGGAGTTGGCATATGCAAAAAGCCTAGCACAGTGCCAGTCCACACACAGCATGTGTCTGTGTGACCATTAGTACTGAATGTATACGATACACGTACTAGTATAACCATTAGTATGGAGGTGTCATACATGTGTAATCATTAGAACTAATGTGTGATACATGTGCAACAATTAGTAACAACATATGTGACATATATGTACCTGCTAGTACTGAACATGTGTGATACACATGTAGCCACCCCCACCCCTGCAGTAGGAAGCTCTCAAATATTTCTTCCTTACCCCTCTCTCCAATATCCTCTACAGTAATGAGAGATACATTCGTTTATCAGGTAAGAAAGAAAAATCCAGTGTGTTTGTTTAATTGTATCTAAACCCTTATGAAAATAGTCTATGTTATTGGGAAAAAAAAGATGGAGGAATTATTCTAGACCTGTGGTTCCCAACTTTTTTTTTGGCCATGCCCCACCTAAGCATCTCTAAAATCCTGATGCCCTCCTTAGGGTGACATATAATTCTTATTATTCAAAAAGTGAATTCCTATTCATGTGGAGGGAGCCTAAAAGGCCATTAACTTGATCTAAACAAGTTTCCAAAGAACATGGCATGAAAGAGAAAAATAAAAGAACAAAAGGACAGCTGTAATACTGAGGAAGCCATCACTAAGAAATTGTTAAAATAATAATATGAAATGATATGAAAAATAGCAAATAAAGTTTCAAAACATATAATAGAGAACTGAAGTGCATAAATATGACATATATCTTTGTATACTATACTAGTATATGAGGCCCCTAGAACCATAAGAAATGCAAAAAATTCACTGTTAATAACTCATTCTCGAATTGCCCCCCTTAAAAATCAAATTGCCTCCCTTTGGTGCGTATGCCCCACATTGGGAACCACTGTTCTAGAATAAAATAGACTAAAGGAACTGAAGAAAATGCAAAGTGTTATTCTTGGTTGGATCCTTCTTTTTAAGGTGTAAAAGACATTTGGGGAAATTTGAATACTTAACAATATTAAAGTATTATCAATTTCTTTGGTATGATAATTTTGATGTGGTTACACAGGAGAATATCCTTACAAGATGTATACCAAAGTATTTAGGTGGAAAGTGTATAATGGTTTAGGCCTTCTTTCAAATGCTTCATTAAAAAGAAAAATACACACACAGAGACTGTGTACAGATACATAGATATGTAGACCAAATAGGGGTAACTTAACTACAGTTGAATTTAGGAGGTGTGGTTTTTTTTTTATGTTTGAAAACATCCTATCTAATAAAAGAGAAACATGGTAATTAGCCGTATGGCCGCTACCCTTCCCATTGGCTAATCAGGGCGATATGCAAATTAACTGCCAGCCAAGATGGCGGCCGGCAGCCAGGCAGCTGGAAGCGAACAGGGAGGCTTGCTTGCTTCAGTGATGGAGGAAGCCAAGCTTCCCCGCC